CTGTTGTGTTGTGATCTTGGTCCAAACCCTCACGAGAGTTCCTTACATTTTTTGTTTTTTTAGTAGATATTATAAATTACACTTTTCAATACAACTGAATCAATCTACAAATTAAATAAAAACAGTACAGTATGCTGCTCAAGTGTGTTTTAATTGAAGAATGTTTAAAATAATTCAAAACCTTTAAATAAGTAATTACATAACACTAGAACAATATGTAACAAGCTTGGGTATGGATGTTATTTTTATTTTATGAACTTACTGCAACATAAACTTTGGACTTTCATCCAAGGACATCATTTATACAGAAAATACACTTGGGTTTGTCTACAAGTAAGCAGGAGACTGTTCCAAGATACAATATACATTTTATTAACACTAAGTTAAAAACCTATTCTAATGGAGGCAATAATGATTCTTAAAATAAATATTGAGCCAAGGCCGAGGCTTTCCAGTGTTCAGTCAACTAAAAGACAAAAGGATGGTTCAAGGTAACACAAGAGCAGAAATTCACCCACAAGCTGTGATGCACGAGACACGAGCGGAACAGAACCAACACGAGACTGGACTGCACCTTCAACCTGGGACATAAATATGAAATTACGTAAACAAAAATAAATATGAATAATTTTTAAGAATTACAAAACAAACAAACATGGGCCTCACATTCACAAATAAAAATAGTTGAAATTGGCCCCAGCCTTTAGTTCAGCCAATCTTCTCTCAGGTAAGACACTGACTAATTATGGTGACTCAAGCAGGAGTGAGAGTCCACCAACACAGGACTGAGCAGAATGAGGACAGCTGGGAGTGCACCAGTAAAACCACTAAATAAAATACTGTTAGCAAGATCGTTTCAATTATTGAGCTTATTGACATTATTATTATTTTTATTGACATTATTTCCGTGAAGATCAATACATTTTGTGAGTCAGTGTAACTTGATCTCTCCATTAATTACATGACAAGTTTATAATGTAGCATCTTACTGTGATATTTACCTGTGGGTGGATGTGCCACCAGGTGAAGTGAGTTTCACTGGACTCCAGTAGCAGCTTCAGCCTGGCTAGCTTTCTGTGAGAGGACAAGCTGCTGTTTCTGAGCTCTCTAAAAACAGACTCTCTCTTAGATGGTGTGGTGAAATTATTCCAGGTGAAGAGAGAAGCTCAACCTTTAAAGCAGCTGGTGGTGGATCCGCGGACAAAATCCTCCAGAGTGAAATGCCGGTTACATACAAGTGCTCCCTGGCTTTATGAAGAAGTTGTGACCATCATCTCTTCTGATCACTTGGATCCACCGCCTCCTTTGGTCTGGGTACGTCGTGAAAAGCATGGTAGGACAGACATGATTGTTTTCTTGCCCCACAAGAACAACCAGGAACTGAACAAAAGCAACCGCTCCGAGACTGAGCCATTTTCCTCACGGTCTAATGCTAACGCTATAGCCACCGGAAGTTGTTGAACACCACATCTGCTTTAAAACCCAGAAGCGTGAAAAAGGCATCTTCAATGCACATGTGGATAATGACAGAGTGACCTGGAGGGGCATGACTGGGAGGAACGGCCTCTCTGATCTGAACTTGAGCGGTGTTCTGTTGTTGGACTTCTGTGCTAGTTATACTTTATCCATCGTGATCACCATGTTCGAGCATAAGGGCGCCCATCAGTGCACTTGGCACCAGGACGCCCTAGATCGTAGATCAACGATTGACTTTGTAGTCGTGTCATCTGATTTGAGGCCATTTGTTTGGACACTCAGAGAGGAGCTGAGCTGTCAACTGATCACCACCGTAGTGATTTGGGTCAGATGGTGGGGGAACAGACCCAGTAGACCCAAACGTGTAGTGAGGGTTTGCTGGGAACACCTGGCAGAAGAACATGTCTGAAAGCTCCTCAACTTGCACCTGTGTTAATAATGTACATGCTCCTAGAATAAAACACCAGTGGAGTAAATATTTTGTGTGAAGTCAAGTTATTTCCTTTGCGTATGTTTTAAAACTAATAACTAATACCCTTATCTTACTGTAATACTAATACACATGTTAAATGTCAGAAATTATTTTGAGGAGATTGCCCTCTCCAACTCATCCTGGAAATTAGGAGAAAAGAAAATATGAATTCCTAAAACTAAATTGTTTGAATTAAAGGACGTAAAGCTTCACTCATGATTGCTCGTTTGTTCATATTTTTTATTTTCTTTATAACATTATAAGACATCTACACTTAGAATGCATTTGCAAAATACAACAATTTGGCAAAAATAAAACAAATTACGAATGTCGTGACTGACACCGATAAATTCAGTAAACTGGCAGAATTTTAGCAGATTCCATCCCGCACAGCGTACAGTGTCCACCAACATCTGCATCTGACTCTCCAAGAACATCTGGACTCTGCAGTGTGGTAGCACGCTGTTCAACAAAAATAATCATCATTTTTGTTTTGTGCAAAAAGAAGAAGAAAAAAAAACAAGATGGTGAAATAGGACAGACAACACTCATTAAAAAACATTTTGCTCCAGTCCTGTTGGACTTTGTTTTCATACAGGAGAATAGATTGTACAATATAAAACCATAAGCAGAAGGTTTCAGAGTTTATCCGCGGGACAAACTGAAGTCTTCATTCTGAACTCACAATTGCTCCTTAAAGACAGCCGAAAGCACAGTGAGCCACACAACTTCACAAATAATAAATAAATAAAAGTGCTGTCTGCTGCATTTTGGCACCACCTTCTCCATTAGGACACAACTGCAGGATCACAACCTGATATAAAATTCATTAAATGTAAAAAAAATACCTCAACTCCACCCTCAGCACCTACCAGTAATCATTGTCTCTGCAGTCTTTCTCCACTTTGTATTTCTCATCTTTCTTTTTGTTACAAAGCCCCTCGAGGCACCAAGCATCACACGTAAGACAGTAGAATCCCATTCACCTCCTGACCACACCTGCATGGCATAACCAACGTTTGAACTGGTTTGAACTGGTTTGAACTGAAAAATGTATACAGCACTGTAATTTGCCATCATAAACTCTGCTCCGTCTGTTGAACACACAGTAAAGATGCTCAACAGGATTCAACCATGACGTGGTTTGATCAAGTTGTCATTTTGTTTTTTAAAGGTTTCCCAATGACATTTTGATATCAGATTTCATGGGAGCAGATTGGTTCTTGATTTACAAGTTTGACGGTTAAGAAATATCACATTATTATCTAAAATATGTTTAAGACTTTGACCAAGAGGTTGCTGGCTCAACTTGCATGAATTGTTTTCCTGGTTTTTCTCAGAACATTGTGTGAAAACCATGACTTTTTTAATGTTTATGGTCTATTATATGGTCTGGAGACAGTGGCATTGACAAAAAGACAGGAGAAAGAACTGGAAGTAGCAGAAATGAAGATGTTGAGGTTCTCCTTAGGAGTGACAAGGATGGATAAGATTAGGAATGAGATCATCAGAGGTACAGCACAGGTTGAACAACTGGGAGATAAAGTTAGAGAGACCAGACTGAGATGATTTGGACATGTCCAGAGGAGGGACAGTGGTTTGGACATGTCCAGAGGAGGGACAGTGGGTATACTGGTAGAAGGATATTAGAAATGCAGCTGCCAGGAAAAAGACAAAGAGGAGATATATGGATACAGTTAGAGAGGACATGGAGGTAGATGGAGTGAAGACAGAGTGAGATGGAGGAGGATGACCTGAAGAGGGAAAAGCTGAAAGAAGAAGCTCAGAACTTTGTGTGAAAAGATCTTGCTGTTACATGATAAAGGCCACATCATGACGTAAGAATGAGGTGTGCTTAGGAAACCTTATATTAACGTGATATTACTAAACTGTTAAATGGTGACATTTTGTTGATTGTAAAGGCTGCAAAAAAGATGAAGCAAGAGAGAGAGAAAGAAGGAGAGAGGAGGCCTTTCAAGACGCCAGAGTAAACATGATTCTGCAAATAATTTCCCCCTTTTGAAACTCTTAGACATGATCATTGAAATACCTTTACCCATTTTTAAGTTTCCAAGAAGTTAAAAAATATATATCCAGTAAACACTAATGACAAAATTATGAAATGACAATACAGACCACAGGAAAGAAAGGTGTTCTTTCTAACCTGACAAATGAGTGTTATTTGTCCAGTTTTTTTCCAAAATCGCTCGTCTATAGAAAGAACTGAGCACGAATGTCTCTGAAATAATAGTGTAATACCCTCTGCATCCAGCTGAAATGTCTGTGTTTTATCACATGTGTAAAAACAGTACCAGTTGACCTAACAGTGCAAATGCAGATGTACAAAAATATATAAAAAGACACCAAAAGAATGTAAAAAAATATGCACATGACCTTATTGACCTAGTTTCACATTTAAGTTCATTACACTGCATAGGTGACTGAATCACTACCACAAATGAGATGTTTTCTTTTCATGATGCTTCATTTAATGTTGCGTTTTTTTAAACTTCTAAATTAGTCTCTTTCTAGAGCAACCACTTTTTCGATGTGTCCTATTTACGGCTTCATAAAAACACGGGGACTGTGTGGCCCCTTTGAGCACAGTCAGCCCCAGTACCACTTGTTAAGGTCATTAAATGACTTGTACTCCCTGTGCCTTCTCAAGTAGTCACAAGCTAGGCATGTGTGCTCTGCCCAGAAGTGGGCTCTCTTTACTTTAAAGTGCTGCCTCCACTTGAAGTATCGCAGATACATTTCCTCATTCTTGTCCAGGAGCAGCAGGTACTCTGCTAATTCCTTGGGGGAGGAGAAATCATCCACGTGGATAAAAGCATCCCCTTGAATAAAGTTTTCATAGTTCTGCCTGGTTGTGCCGAGAACCACTGGCACTGTGCCCACAGACAGTGGCACATACAGTTTTTCAGTGATGTAGTCTTTGTGTATAGAGTTCTCAAAAGACAAATAAAACTTACAGCTGGCCATAGTGGGGATGTAATCTTGGTCAGAGATGTGCTCCCCAAAGGCTTGTCCATATGCATGAACCTCAATGTGTTTGTACAACTCATTGTAGTATCTAACCCGCACATGCTCAGGGTTCCAGTTGCTTACAATCCAGCAAAGCATTTTGTTTTTGCTGGGTGGTACAAAGTCCTCCTCTCTCTCTGCTGCTACAATGGTCCCATAAGGCACTTCAATGTCAGAATCCTGACGGTAATTGAGAGTCAGATTGAACAAGTTGTTGATCTCAGGCAGCTGAGGCGAATGTGAAGGCGACTCCAAGTTCATCCATATCCACTTCTGGAACGGCGGTCGCTGTTGAGACGGCAGGTTGGACAGGTCTCTGGCGATGTCTCGGTGGTGGATGATGACCCCATCTGATTTGTTGTAGAGGTTTCTGTCTGCTGTGATGAAGCAGCCTTCAACGTTGAAGATAGAACTGCAGACGTTCAGGTCATACGTTTGTCCAAAGGGCCAAAGCCAGACCAGCACAGTGGTCACATTTTTATTGCTCTTTGTGGAGAATAGGTTCTTGACTTGGTCTGTGGAAACTGTTGACTCTACTGGGCCATATAGCCAGCTGGTGGATGGTTTAAAATACATCAAAAAGACGGTTACAAAGCATCCCAGGATGAAAACTGTGATCAGAAGGGGTCGCAGGATTTTGTTAAAAGTTGTAGATGACATACTCTGACCTGCAGAGAGGACACCAAGAAGAACAAAAACAGATAAAGTGACCAGTTATTTAATCATGTAAAAACTTTTAAAAACATGCATTAATAATGAGGTTAATACAACATTCCTTAAATTTAATAGTCTATATGGCACATTTGAGAAAAATGTATTGGGTTACTACTGTATTTACAATGCACCAAAAAGTTTGAATAACTTGTCCCATTGCTATACAAACCTGTTTTGACTGTATGTTGCATTCCACACAATCCGTCTTGTGAGTCAGTGCTCAGTGAATTAAACTGCTGGTGACAGCTGAGCGATGCTTCATGGCTCTTTAGGAGAACGTTAACGATCCTTAATGATCTATTCAAGTGCCCCGATTCTTGAGTCAGCAAGTCTTCCCAATGATGCCTCCTTTAGTTGAGCATAAAAAAGAGAACAGGAAAATAACTCATTAACAATCTGCAAAAAAATAAAAATAAAATAGCATAAAAGGCACGTCTGAAGGTGTTATAGGTTTTATCTGTAAACACCAAGGGGATGAATAGTAGACACTGAAATACAAATACCATTAGATATTGTTAATATTTTTCAATCGAAGCATAGCTTTAGTCTTGTAACTGTTACTGCTGTTGGCACACAATTCTTAGAGAATGCTGCTATGAAGGCAAGGAGTTCCTCAGTCTCTCCAGCTCCTGGAGCTCAACACCTTGAGAAACACCCTTTAAAAGCAGATCAGCAAGAAGCATCACTGATCTGAAACAAGCATGATTTTCTTTATCTTATCTTTTATCTGTCAGCACTGACACAGCTCTACTAATGGCTCTGGTCTCCACTCTTTACCCTCCATCTTGATCTGACTGCTCTTTTGATACTAGCCTACATATCACCCATCTCATGCTCCATGCTTGCTTCCATCGGTACCAGCGTATCATTCAAATGGTATCTCTTTGGTTACACTCATTTATTTCCCTTAAGGTTCCACTTTCAGGAAACCCAATGTTCTGTTCCACCCTTTTGCCACTGAAGCCCATCTGTTCTTATTAACCCCACTTCCATATTGTACTTCTGAACCAAAAAAGTCCTGCCTTCATAGATTTTTAGTGAGGCTCAAAATGGTCTATTTATTATATGAAGTGTTCTACCTTAAAGCCAAGGAAGATACTATTAAAGAAAATACTTTTTTATTGTGGAGCTGGTTTTATTTATATGCTTTCTGCTACTTCACACAGTTTTCTTTCATACCAGATACCACCTGCTCAGGTAAAAATGTGCACATTTTTGTTTAGAGATGCGTAACAAATATTAAGATGAATAAAAACCATAAAATATGATCTTGTATACAAAGAAAACACACTGTAATTTACTTTCATGTGGATTTGATCGATCCAGTGGCAGACAAAGATGTTTTGTTAAACATGATTCTAGAAAAAGTGACATTGCTTTTAAGGTTCAAGGTTCTTTATTGTCATTCACATTACTTATAGTACATGAGGTGGAACGAAACTGTGTACTCAAGGTCCCAGTTACATCCCAAAATAGCAATAATATAAACTATAAAAAAAATTAAAGTATACTAGGATTTAAAATATACGCTAAACAATAGTAATGTAATATAATGTGGTGTATTAAACAGCAGCCTGAACATGAGTCTGTTCTGAGCAGATGGGAATGAATATAGCAGCTTATGGATAAGAATCAGCAGCATGGATAAAGTGACATGTCACCAATTAAAGTGACATTACAGTCATTTTCCTGGTCAGGGGTTCATGAGTCTAACAGCTTCAGGGTAGAAGCTGTTCCTCAGTCTAGTGGTTCTACACTTAATGCTCCTTAACCTCCTTCCTGAGTGGAGTGGGGCAAAAATTGTGTGTGCTGGGTTAGTGGGGTCCTTCGTGATGCAGGTGGCCCTCTTCCTGCATCTGGAGGTGTAGATGTCTGTGATGGTGGTCAGACTGACTCCAACATCTTCTGTGCAGCCTTCACCACTCTCTGCAAAGCTTTTCTTTCTGCAGCTGTGCAGCCTCCATGCCACAAGTACCTGTAAATAACTTTAGCTGTAAATCTTTTACTGAACACACCTTCAAACTCTTAGTTCAGCAAAATAATAACTATTGTTGTTATTTATGCTTTCAATTTTATTTTCCTGGTAATAAAATCCTAATTAACAGAAATCAAGACAGCAGATGTGAAATGTACAAAAATCCCAAATTGGCTCTAAAAATACATTCAAACCTGAATCTGCTTTAAAAAAAATTCAACGGGTACATCTCTACCAAGAACTCTGAGTAAAGAAACAAACCTGCCTTTTGTGCACACTTTATATTTGTTTGCACCAAATCTGTGATACTTTGACCCATGCAGAATATGCCAACGTATTTTACAAGAGTGAACGCACGCTGATTAAAACAACAACAGCTTTGTTGGTGTCAGCTCCACCAACTATAATTTTAATATGGGATTCTTTGAGATTTTAATCCCACTGTGTGAGACAGGTGACCTGGTTTAAGATGATTTAAGTGACTTACACATTTTTATTTACTCAGTATTTAAAAACTGATTACTGTATACTAAAACACAAAGTTTTATATCAAACTTTTTTCTATTACTATTAGAGGATCAAGTGTTTTTCTTGCTTTATTTTATCATTTTTAAAAGTTCATAAACAAAACTAAAACCTGTATTTGTGTCTAACAGTGAGCCATGAAACCAGAAATAACAGCATCAAGTATAGATTCATGACAGTATATAACACACAGCCATACATTTGTCAATGCAGATTTTCAATTTCTTGCACCTTAACAGAAATAAGTATTTTCATAAATGCGTGTGTGCCATTTTAAAATGTGCACAGCTTTTCTAACTCGAGACATTACAAAACTGAAGGCACGGTTTTAAAAAGGCCGAGCTCTTTCTTATAAAGTGACGCTACTTTAGTTCTTTACAAGAATTATAAAACAATGACACATTCATCTCTAATTGTTCCACAGCTGGTATGTTCTAAGGCACCAACAGGAATCGTCACAACAGTGTAGAAATATTTAACACACGCAGATTTTGAGCTGTTATAGTTTCTGGGTGGCAGCAGCTCATTTATTTACTTATTATTTTATTTATTTATTTTAGTACTGAGGAGAACGTCTGCACAACAATGTACTTACTTTGTATATCCTCTAAGCTTAGACCTCAGTGGTAATGCAACGCCTTTTATAAAAATGCTTCTTTTTGAAGACAGTTTCATTTTCAAACTTACTTTTCTACACTTTCATATCACATGTATGCAAACAATTTTTACATTCATGCCTGAATTTGTATTATTTTAGTTGACATAGATTTATTATGTAAAATAAATATTGTAAAAATTATAGTTTGGTAATTTATGAGTAATACATTTAGGACCAAAACCAGTCTGGAATGTTCATTTTCATTTTACAGTTCTCGGAATGATGAAAGTATGGATTTATTTTTAACGAGTTTCTGTAATAAAGAACTTAAATCACCAACTAGGTCACTGTGGGAACAAACCATCAGCTACCACGAAGACACTGAGCACACTTTAAGAGTCTCAGTTTCATCTTTGCCACCTCCACTTCTCTCACACTCTTGACATAACTCTTATTCTCCTAAGGAAGATGCTTTTCTATAGTTATTCGGACAAGCTGCGACAGATGGGGCGTGCCTACGATTCTAGAAAAGTATTTTATAGAAGGAACAATTTCTAAATGCTTGGGACCTTACCAGGTGTGCAAACAGTAAGTACTGCTACCATAAATGATTATACTGCTAAACAACAGAAATGGCAGAAGAAAGTGTCCTGAATTAAGTATATTTTACACACAAACATGACTCCACACTTTCTTTATTTCAGTTTTAGAGGTTTTGAAACATTTTAACACTTCTATCTTCTGGGTGAACGATACAGGGGCCATCAGAAACAGTCTTGCTCAACTTCATCCTGCTGCTCTTCCTGCTTTACAAAGTGCCTCCCACACATGTGGCTCATTCATATAAAGAACATTCTTATTAATGTTGCATGAAAAAAGCAATGTCTTTGAAAGCAACACAAGTGACAATTCATAGAAGAGCTCAATTTTACTCCACGCAAACTGTTTATTAAATGATTCCAAGTTAGTCGACTTCAAGTCCTCAACTTTTTGTCTTTTGTAACACTCGTGAAAGACTTAAAAGCTAAGTGGAACATTCTGAACTATATTGTGTGTGGTTTTTTTTTTAATTACCAAACTAAGTAAATGGTAAATGGACTGTACTTATAATAATAATAATAATAATAATAATAATTATAATCATAATTTTATTTAAAAAGCGCCTTTCATGACACCCAAGGACACTTTACAGTAAGAACAAAGATCAACAGGAATAAAGAATATAAAATACATAAAGAATATAAAATACATAAAGAATATAAAATACATACAGAATATAAAATACATACAGAATATAAAATACATAAAGAATATAAAATACATACAGCAAAGTTAAGGATAAGCGAGTCTAAAGAGATGTGTTTTCAGAGCAGTCTTGAATAGAGAAAGAGAGGTTGTGTTTCTTAAGTCAGGGGGTAGAGAGTTCCAGAGATGAGGAGCAGAGCAGGTGAAGGCCCTTCTCCCCATGGTGGAGAGGCGGGCAGAGGGTACATGGAGGTGTAGTGAAGAGGAGGATCTGAGAGAGCGAGAGGGGATGGAGATGTGTAGGAAGTCAGATAGATACGGAGGGGAAAGGTTGTGGATAGCTTTGAAAGTGAGAAGAAGAACTTTGAAGACGATGCGTGTTTTAACCGGGAGCCAGTGGAGCTGCTGCAGGACAGGAGTGATGTGGTTATAGGAGGAGGTTTGAGTGATGACACGGGCAGCTGAGTTCTGGACCAATTGTAGCTTCTGGAGAGATTTGTTGGGGAGGCCATAAAGAAGGGAGTTGCAGTAGTCAATCCGAGAAGTCACAAGACTGTGAACAAGGATGGCTGTGGAGCGGGGTGTGAAAGAAGGGCGGAGACGGTTAATATTTCTGAGATGGAAATAGGCAGACCGAGTGACATTGTTGATGTGAGAAGTGAAGGAGAGAGTGGTGTCGAGGATGACACCAAGACTCTTGACCTGAGGCGAGGGGGATAGCAGAGAGTTGTTAAGGGGGATGAGAAGATTTTCTGATTTTGAAAGAGAGTTTTTGGTACCGACAAGAATGATTTCTGTTTAGTCACTGTTTAGTTGTAGGAAATTGTTAGAAAACCAGTGATTTAGCTCATTGAGACAGTCGGTGAGGATGGAGGGTGGGTGGGTGTAGTTTGGTTTTGTTGACAATTAGAGCTGTGTGTCATCAGCATAACAATGAAAATGGACACCAAATTTACAGAAGATGTGACCTAGAGGAAGGAGGTAAATGATGAAAAGGAGGGGTCC